TTTAAGCATGTGTTTAAGGACCTTGCGCTTGTCCTTGTTCTCTGTCAGGTATGGCGTTAGTGCCTCACCAAACAGCTTTGCCCCTTGGTACGGAGCCGAAGCCAATTTCCACTTGGATTTGGTATCCGCCTGCCAGTTCTTTAGCCAGAGGATGCGCCTGCTCGTGTTGTTTGCCGCCATTGCCTTGGCTGAAAACTTGGTCGCTAAAAGTGTTGCGTCCGACGCATATTCCGTGGCCGCTACCATTTTGCTGAGTTCCTGGTGAGTGCGTATATCTTCCATGGGAACCCGGCCCTGTAACTCACGGAGCCAACAAAGTGTGGCTCTGGTGAAAAAGGACGCGGAGGTAGACGCCCTGGTAGCCCAAGCTATTGCCTGGTGCGTTCTCCTGTAGTTGGACTCACTCTTTCGGTCCTCGGCTTTAAGAGCCTCAGCAAAATCTCCTGATATGGCCGTGTCCGATATCAGGGGACCTATGGGTTCGTCCACCACCGGCACCTCCAATGTTCCCTCTAGCTCCCTTGCTACGTTAAATAGCTTCCTCTCCGCATTGCTAGGAAGCGGTAGGGAGGTTGGCGCTGCCCACTGTTTCCTTATTGTGTTTAGGAACATGGTCGGGCATGGTATGCGGTGTTGAGTGGTTACCTTTTCGGCGAACGTCGGCTCAGCCTCCGTGTCAACTGTGACAGGCTCCGCTGGTGTCCCATGCCCCAGATGGGCTGTGGCCTCAGCCTTGCGCAGAATAGTAACAAAAAGAGAAGGGTTAAACAGGCCGCTGAAGGACGGCCCTTGAGGTGAGGTGTCCTCCTCCTCCTCAGACATTTGAATCCCTTGTGACGTACCTGGCTGGTCCAGGTAAGCTTCCTCAGAGACCGACGAGTCTGAGACGGAGGAGAGGTCCTGATGGTCCTCCGTTTCCTCCCGATGCCTCGTTCTAAGTCCTAGAGGCTTGGCTTTTGAAGTTTGAGCCCTGGCCTCAAATGCACGGTCCACTGCCTGTGCTATTAGGGTAGCTAGCAGATCCCCCGTCAATGCAGGAGGAGTGACCATTGCCTGCGACCCTGCAGGTGCTGTGGTTAGCATGGTCCTCGGGGTTTCCTGTAACCTCCGTGGGGAGGGGGATCGGGAGAGCGATGAGAATTCGCCTATCCCACCCTCTGTTTGGGACTGTGATGAGCTCCCTAATGACCAAATGGCCCGTGGGGATGAAGGGAGACCCAGCGGTAGATCAGGACCTATTCCCCCATTCTGCCTATTTTCAATTCTGGCCCTTTTCTGGGCTCTGTCGAACTCTTTTTCTAGGGCTTGGTGTCTTCTGATTGCCTGTTTGTCAGCCTTCTTTGATGACTTCCTTGCAGCCTTTCTAGGGGCTGCAGAGGATTCCGAATCCTCTGAAGCAGGTGCTCCAGAGGATGAAGGCGGGGCTCCAGTGGAGGGAATGATTGCTTCCTCCATTCTCCACTAACGCTGGGCCGCGATAGGGGGGACCCAGGTAGTAGGAGAGCTCCAACTTTGAGTAAGGACAGGCGCACTACTGGGGGCGTCTGGAACTCAGGAGCAGACTCTGCAAAATTGTCAGAGTTAGTCACTGTGCACGGATAAGAACAGGCACGCTAATGGGAATGCCTGGAACCCGGCTTGACTATGGTGGGTAAGGACAGGCACGCGACTGGGGATGCCTGGAACCCACCACTAAATCCAGAGGCGTACGGGCCACTAATGGGGGACCCGAAGTCTGGAAGGAGCCAAAGGCAACTAAACACAGTTAGTTATGAAAGGTTCTTATTTACTTTAGGTAGAAGACACCAAGTCCTGGAACCAGTAGCTATGTGTCTGATTTGAATGTCTCTGAATGAATAATAGATGCTTTAGTACCCCAGTACTGCTTGCCTATTAATTCACTCCAGCGGCTGAACCTAGCTTTCTCAGTGAGCTTTAACTCCCCTGTTTGGACAAAAAATATGGCCGCCGCTGCCAGGAGACTACTGCGCATGTGTTAACAAGGCTGCCTATGCCACGTGCGGTTGTAACAAAGAGCTGCGCGTGCTTCCAGCTGTGCAGACAATGGCGCCTCGTTTAAAAAATCCTGAGCAGCCTGGAGTGAAAAGACTGTTCCTTCGCACGCCAGCTGTTTCCCTTAATCAATCTCCCTCTCAGCATGCGTCCCCTTTGTCCTCCGCTTCCCTCGCTAACTGCTTGCCTTTCTGTCTTTTTTGTTTTGTTTGTTTTAAACGCGAGGGGTTGCCCGAGCCTCCCCGTTTGTTTAAGGCGGCTGCCGGCTGCTGGAAGGTGGCTGGGGTTTTTGGGTTAGGGAGGGGAGTTAGGGATTTCCCCCTTTTAAGTGGGGGTGGTTTCCCCTGTAGGAATCTGACTTCCTGAGTCTTACAATTTAGCAAGGAAATTTTTGAGTGATCAATTAAATTGAATTAAATTATCTCTAATTAACTGAAACTAAGCAATTTCAGCTACTAGAAAAAATCCCCCCTAATGGAAAGGAACTATACCTGCCCAGGAGCCAAAAGTTGTAGGTGTCTCTGTATGGCCAGATCAGTCAAGACTAAGGATCATGGTCCAAGACGGGGTGTGGCAACTTTGGCTGACTGATCTGATTGGCCAGGAATACAGTCTCAACCCACTGCGTGGATTATCCATCTCCAGTGCTGGAGAAACAACAACCATACGACCACCTAAGAATAAATCATCTTTAAAAGCAAGTCATTTAGCAACAGTTATCAACATTTATCCCATTTTTACTTTGTCCCTGAAGTCCCTGTTTTCTGGCCAATCTTCAGCTTCAGTCATTCATTTAACATTATAAATCATAACATACATATAATAAGGAATTAAAAAATCGGGAAAAATATTAAAACAGGAGTATGAGGTGAAAAGAAGCAAACTTCAGACGGCTAATTAAAATTATTCAGTTTAAATATCAACATCTGCAGTGGATCATATAGGATGGTTCAGAAAGACTGAAAATGGTAATAGTTCAACTAATCCAGCAATGATAAAATATAGTTAATCTGGATTACAAAATAACCGATCTAGGAAAATGCTGAAGTGTACTGTTCTAATACCACTGTTTATCACCAGACAATTTTAAGCAAGAATTTGTTTCAAATTTGGACAAACAGGCCATCAAGATCTCTTTAATTTTGTTGCAATTGTTTTAAACCTCTATAGAGGTCTTTACCTTGCTCTGACCACCTATGGAAAGTATCTCTTTGTATTCCACAAGGAACTTCAGAGCCTTACAAATATAGCATAACATCAGCTGTTCCACCATGCAAGCTATCCAGATTGATTGATGCTAATTCAGGATTAAGTCTCATTGATTTCAACAGATATGTGCAGATAAGAGTTTATAGAGTTGCTGGGTAGTTTCGTTTTCACAAGCATATATAATAATTGAATTATGTATCTCATTACAAAACCTAATACACTCACGTATAGGTTAAGCATTAATTAAGCCCTTCAGCTAAGCACTCATAGAGACAATTCCTTTGGACTTAGAAGCAGCCTTCGACTTACGGCTGTCTGTTTAACGACAGTTCAAAGTTATGACCTGTACTTGCATTACAACCATTGCACCACACCCGCGGTCACACAATCACAATTTGGCGCTTGGCAAATGGCTCACATTTATCACTGGTTGCAGCATCAGCAGCATCATGTGGTCATAATTTGAAACGTCTGCTGAGTTTTGGAAAAAATGGCCACAGGGGAAGCTGGATTCACTTAAGGACCATGATGATTTGCTTAACAGCCGCCACAAAAATTGTTGTAAAATCAGATCTGACTTGACCTATGACGAGAATGACTTATGATGGAAATTCCGGTCCAAATTGTGGTCATAAGTTGAGGATTACCTGTATTTTTTTATATGCAAGTAGTCCTCGGCTTACAACCGCAATGGAGCCCAACATCATTGTAGCTAAGTGAAACGTTTGTTAAGTGAATTTTGCCCCATTTTAAGACCTTTCTGGCCACAGTTGTTAAATGAATCACTACAGTTGTTAAGATAGTTGCATCGTTGTTAAGTGAATCTGGCTTCCTCATTGACTTTGCTTGTCAGAAGGGCGCAACAGGTAATCGCATCAATACAGAATACTGCAATGGTCATAAATGTGAATCAGTTGCCAAGCATCTGAATTTTGATCATGTGACCATGGGGATGCTGCTGTGGTCAGTAAATGAACTGGTGTAAGTCGAGGACAAACTGTACATACTGCAATCTGAATCTCAGTGTACTATGTGCACATCTGAAGCCATTTAATGGCGAAGATTATTACCACAGCTAGTACAAGCCTTCACTCATACCCTCTGAATGTAAACAAGGCTTATTTATTTGTGTCTCCATTTGAAAATAAATGTGTTCATCCAGGAGCAAATGTCAACTTATTTTCTTAAAACTATTGAAATACTATTTTAAATAGGCTAACGTTTAAATGATTTTGCTGAAGAGTATCCTTGTATAGATTATATGCCTGGAGGCTTTTATTTTTTATTCTCCTTTTATCCTTTTGGGCATGTTTTTAAATAATATAGAATATTATTGTAAAAAGAAAATGTAGTATCTTGCTATGGAACAATATGCGCTTTAAAAAATAAGCTTAAAGACATTCTAAACTTTCCCTGAGAAATAAATATATGTTTGAGGGGAAAACCCCAAGAAATGTTATTAAATCGTATTATGCTTTCAGATTATGTTATCTAGATATCAATTATAGGATTTCCTCCCTCTATATTCTGTGATTACTATTAGATGTGAGATACAAGAAGAGAGAAAAAGCAGCGAAACGCCAGGCATATCAGGCAAATTTCATTACTTCAGGGCTCTTGCACATGCTCATAACTAGGATTTACACACGGCAAATCTTCCAATCTGATTATCTCCAGCAATCACATAAGACGTTGGCTTTAAACTCTTTGCCTTGGTGATAAAACAGCCACTTTGATTCATAATAATATACTAACAGCAGAGAATACTGTAAACTTACCTGTCCACAGCCGGGGGCACTGCACACAAACGGCCTGTCGTCTCCCATATTTTTCCACAGTTGAGCTGCAAAGGGGAAAAAGGGGATGAAAGAAGGAGAAAAAAATAATTAAGTTAGCTGAAGATAAAATTTAAGTCGGAATATCAAAAGCGTAGTACTTTTTAGGAGTGCAGTTCATCAATATGAATGAAATGCTTGAACAGACCACATGGGGCGAAGAGGTGGGGACAAGGAAAGACAATGAGAATTCTGGGGGGGGGGGAATAGATAGATACTGAGCAGCAAGGTCTGCCTGGCTCCCAGTTTGGGCCAGAAGTACTTCTACAAAAATGTGCAACACAGGCAGTGGCACGTAAGCCACACACACACACTGCACTAATGCAACTGTTATTTAGAATCACTGAATCACAGAGTTGGAAGGGGCCAAGGAGGTCTGATTCCAATCCCCTGCTCAGTATTGTATAGGAATTCAAATTAAAATATTCTAGACAGATAGATGACTTGTCCAGTTTCCTGAATTCATCCAGTTAAGAGGCAACTCAGCATCTCTCTGAGAAATTGTCTCTCTCTTCCAGTTTTTACCATTGGGAAGTTTTTTCTTAACCCTTTAGCTAACACCAATAGTGAAGTAGCAGAAAAGCTCAGATCCTTGAAAACATCTGGACCACGGATACTATGTACATCCTGATATTTCAAGTAGTCTAGACTCCTTCCAGAGTGAGAACATGTTGTTTAGGAATCACGGAAAGATTCAGTATTTCAAGAAACAGACATATTGCAAAACTTAGCAAAATCTCAGTTCTGCTTTAGACTACACTCAGATCGCTTTTCAGGCCTTAATCTTCAATTCCTGCCACAGAATGAAGATAGCTGGATTACAAAATACCATGCATTATTTATTATCCTTCTGAAGGTAGGCAGCCTTGGTTTTTTGTGATCACCACAGCACAGATAAACACACATATTTATAAAGTGATTGTACAATACACAACACTCTATCTCCAAGTTATGGAGGGATAAATTCATTTCTTCTCGATGCGGAATCCGTATTTTTAATAGGAGAGAACTACAAATCTGTAATTATTAACAGGATTGTAGGAATGAAGCTCCATTTTCTCAAAGCAGTAATCTAACTCCCTGATGGTAAAACTGCAAGAGTGATGACAAAAATGATCTGTCATCTGACACTGTAAAAGAATTTAAAATATCTGTCCTGTTACCCTGCATGTGAAACTATTCTTAGTAACAAAAAGTGGAAACAAAAGAAGCCTCTACTCCGCAAATTTTAAAAATGACCGTTCCTCCATCCCGCCCAGCTTTTTAATAGTGAAACCACTACAGTATAAAGAAATTACTACTATTTCTTCAGAGAAATTGCTACTGCATACAGTTCTTGACTTACAGCCAGTTTTTAGTAACCGTTTGAAGTTACAATGGTACTGAAAAAAGTGACTTTCAATCAGACCTTGATTCCTACAGCCGCTCGATCAAAAACTCTGGTGTTGCCAATCGGCCTGTATTTATGATTGTTGCAGCATCCTTGGGTCATGTGATCACTATCTATGAGCTTCCCAAAGTCAATGGGGGAAATTGGATTAACTGCATGATTCATTTAGTAACTGCTGTGATATGCTTAACAGCTGTAGCAAAAAAAGATCATAAAATCAGACACAACTCACTTACCTAGTAACAGAAGTTCTGGTCTCAATTGTGGTTTTTAAGTCTAGGACTGCTCGTAGTTACAGAGACTCAGTTTGGTATAGACATCAAACTAGAAATTAGGAGAACTTGAGTTCTAGTCCTACCTTAAGCGCAAAGCCAGCTGGGTGACCTTGTGGAGTCACTTTCTCTCAGCCTTAGGAAGGAGACAGTGGCATACCACTTGAAACCACTTCTGAAAATTGCTTAACATTGGATTTGCTTAACAACCGCATGATTCATATAACAATTACAGTGATTCATTTAACAACTCATTCATTTAACAATTCATTTAACATTTAACAACCGTGGGAATAAAAACTAAACAAAGCTAAGCTAAGCTAGGCTAGGCTAGGCTAGGCTAGAATAACCTTTATTGTCATTTTTTTACTATGGGCACAACGGCACACATCAAAAATGAAATTTAGTTGCCCGCTCTCAAAGTGAAACACATACATGACACACACCTAAAAGTTGTAAAATGACAGCCGCTTTGCTTAGCAACAAAAATTCTCTTCCAAACTGTGGTCATAAGTTGAAGACTAGTTGTACTGTAACTGTTCATGAAGTTTCCATATATTTTCCTAAATTAAGAAGTTAGTTAGTTGGAAACTGTTGATTGCTGAATTGGAATCCTGTAAATACTGTTTCTAAACAACTTCCCCTGTTTCACAGGCTAGTTATCTTCAGCAAGTGCAATTTCAAATGCACCCAACTAATTTAAATGCACATTATTTTTTGTATCTGAGAGTATACAACTGCATCTGCCTGCAAACTATTTTTTTGTAATGTTCATGCTGACTGCATCAGGTGATAATGTTCTCAATTCTCCAAAACATAGGTCTGAGAAAAAGAAATCATGGTTGAAGCAATCTGTATCCTGTAATGATATTTCTTTTTAAGCAATCTGTGATATTCAGTGGAAATTGCAAAGTAGGATTAATTGCACATTTGAGGAAGGTTTTTTTTTTTCAACAAATTATTGATCAAACTACTTAAAATGATGAGAGTGGATCACAATGCATAACTAAAATTTTTACCACTGGCAAATAATCCGGAATTTGTCTTTACACATTTTAATACATGTGCTATATTTGTAACTTTAAAATACCTTCTTGTGAATTTAGAAGAATTATATTTCACTACTATTTTATATTATTTTAATACACTTTGATTATGTGCCATCAAATCAGTGCTGACCTTTAGTAATCACATAGACAGAGCTTCTCCAGGAAAAGTTAATATACTTACTGGTCATTTATTATAGATTTACTCTTTTGGCTTAGAGTAAGTACCACATGCACTGCATTTTTTATTCTGTCTGATTTCTGTTGGCTTACTGGAATGGACCAATAAATTGCAGCCTTAAAGAATGAGCTATAGTGACTGAAATTTTCCAAATCTCTAACAGACACAGAACACACATTTTGTTATTTAGCCTCAACATTAATTTCATACTAAAAAACTGAAATCCGCTATTTATTCCCTTGTATATTGGGAAAATAGTTTCAACTCCTAGTCCTTTTCAACATGGAACTCAAATACATTTCCTTTACACTGAATGGAACTCCAACTAATTTGCACCAAGAATTCTCAAAATATGAAATAGCATCTTCTAAAATAGCTTTCCATTATAGATGTGTTCTAACTATTTCTCCCAAATTTTCTAACAGGCACAATGGCTGTCACACTGAAAATGCTAGGCTAGAAATATATATATGGGAGCTGTAGAGTTTTTTTTTTCTGTCAAGTGCTTTGCTTAATCCAGGATTTAAAGTAGGGACAATATTTATTGGGATATTTATCCCATCCAATTTCTTGTTTTCTCACATGTTCAGTAAGTTGCCTGCATACATTAGTGAAAACAAAAAGCTATATTATTACTGTTATTTTAAATTGTTCAGCATTGCAACTTTCAATATAAAGGAGGAATTAATTAAAAGTTTCCAGATATGAAGTCATGCTAAAGTTGTTATTAAAATAAATAGCTAAAATTAAAACAGAAGGATTTGCAAAAAAAAAAAAAAAAAAAAACCCAAACCTCTTTTAAAAAAACTGTTTATACTTGGCTTCACTTGGTTTTTGAAGTCTTCAGAGTTCTTCACTACTTCCAGATCAAATAAAAGATCTTGGCAAGAGAGAAACAAGGATAGACTCCAACACTGACCAAGGGGAAAATAGCAAAGAGGCTGTTTTCCCTTCTATTGCCAGGATTGTGCCATTCCCATTACAAATTTGCCCATTGCCCACTTCCCACAGACTGCAATATGACCAAGGGCTATCAGATTGATCTGGTACAGACACCAATCTAAGAATGCAATAATCAGATTTTGGAAGTCAGAAAGCAAGACTTAATAAACCAGTTTTCAAGTGCTACAAGATTTTCTTACAGAGTTGGGCAGGGAAGGCCACATTCAAATAATTTTGCTTTGATAACCCACTCAGTTCATTATGGCAATTACATCTCATGTACAAAACAGATTTAAATCCATAGGAGCTGACCACAATTGAGCCCAAAATTTAGATTGCTAACTGAAACATTTGTTAAGTGAGTTTGCCCCGTTTTATGACTTTTCTTGCCACTGTTGTTAAGTGAATCATTGCAGTTGTTAAGTTAGTAACATAGCTATTAAATAAAACTAGCTTCCCCATTGACTTTGCTTGTCAGAAGGTTACAAAACGTGACCCCAGGACACTGCAACCATCATAAATGTGAACCAGTTGCCAAGCAAATGAATTTTGAACACGTGACCCTGGGGGATGCTGCAACAGTCGTAAGTGTGAAAAACAGTCATAAGTCACTTTTTTCAGTGCTGTTGTAACTTTGAATGGTCACTAAATGAACTGTTGTAAATCTGTATCAGGATTTGTATGATAAGAAGAGCCTCCAGGTCATGTTCTCACAATACCGCATTTCAAATTGCAACCTTTGAAATAGTAAGCTGAATAGTAGGATGGATACCATCCAGATGAATGAACACAAAGTGCACAGAATATCAGCCGTTATATCAGCCTATTATTTCAAAGGTCTCCTGAAAAAAAAAAAAAACCCCAGCTTTAACTGGCCTCCTAATATGCCAATAGGATTTCTGAGGATGGGAATTCTGCAAAGAGTCTCACCTCACAAAAAGCTCCATTTCCTTGCACAGCAGCAAAGATTCAGTTTGTCCATGTTTGTGCCGTAAGGTATCTGCAAAGGGCAGCAGCTGGTGCCATGCTATAAATATAGCTTCTAAATCCACACTCATCACAGTTACCATACAGCACAACAGCCAGACCTAAAGCAAAATATATTCCCTTCTGATAAAAATTCACACCTGTGCTGCATGATACAAAATACTCCTTATATTAAAAAAAAAACCCCTTA